ATCAAAGCTCGAGGTGGATAACACTTGTGATTTTTTGCAGCACTATCTAAAAGCCAGGGCAACAGAGCTCATTAATAAAAAAAAGAGGAAAAACATCCATACAACAGGTTAGAGTTCAACCATCAATTCTGCGGTGATGGGGTACAGTGACGGTGACTGACACGTGGATTCCATTTAAGTGATATTCACTTGCATTGTATCTACCGCACTGTCTCGTCTCCCACCTACCCGAGTCCGGGGTAAAGAAGACGAGAAGTGGGGTCGTGCGCGGGTGGTTGGCATAGCGAAATCCGCGTCCAACACGATCTTTGGTTCATGAAAAACGACTGACCAGGGTTTTAACACGGCAGCAAAAGGAATGGAAACGGCGGCACAGATCCCAGCTCACACACAACCTGGGTGTCTCCGTGCCACACACACACACCCAATCATACACCGCTTGGACAACAGCAAGTGAAGTAACACATACTGCAGTGCCTTTTCCGACGAAGTCTCCGCAGCTGAGGACTTATCGGGCAAGTGGCGGGGCTCAGAGGCGAGCTGGGCACGCAGTTGGTTACGCTCCTTTGTCACCGCCTGGAGACGACGCTCAGTCAGCGCAAGACGTCTAGTAAATTCGTCGGTGAGGCTGTCGAGCTCATGCAGATTGCCAGTGCCGCTGCCTGCTGCTTGTGCCACCTGCCTAACACAGAAGGGGAAAAAAGGAATGCGTTTCTTGTTTTTACAAGCATCACATTCAACTGAGAGCATGATTCTGAAAGCTTGTAGTGCAGCCGGTTAGTCCACCATACAGCACATAACAGCGGTTAAGATCCAGAGAGATGCAAGTAGATCGGTTGAGGCAAACGCAATAAGTGGTGGTAAGCCGTCAAAATGGGAGAGGATGTCAAGTGCCGGGCTATGAGCGTAGAAGATGAACGTAAACTGGATGTATTTGACCCCTACGGTTTGAGGACCATCCTCTGCGTGAATTACACCGACTTCGTTTCAAATGACACAGTCCGAACTCGCTGTGACAACATGGCAAGGACATCCCAGGCCATCAAAGAATCAAGACTGAGGTGGTTTGGACACGTTCTTTGCCGTCAAACTCACAAGCTTAGTGTTATTGCCCTCTACCCGAAACCGTTACCTAATTAGAAACTTCGAATGGAGTGAGTTGGACTTGCGTAATATCGACCTCAATCCTTCTCTCCCTTACATCTACAGACCTTCTGCC